AGTGCTGGGATTATAGGCATGCACCACCATGGGATGCACCACCATAAGGTGATGGCTTTTGATGAGAAAGGGAAAAGATAGCTTTGCTGCTTTCTGTATTTTCTAACTATGTAGTAATTCAGTGTCTTTATTTGGTAGGTTCGAGGATATAAAATATTTCTTCGTTTATTTCCTCATGAAGTAGCTGATGTACAGTCTGTGTTAGATATGATCTCGGACCAGAACCCCACAGACCATGAGGTGAGCCCCTGTCCCTGCTGGCTGCACTCCTTGCTGACAGCTCTGTCTCCCGCTTCCTTCAGTTTTACCTCACCTTTCTCTCTAGTTTCTATGCATGTTACTTTATTTTTTTTTATTTTTTATTTTTTTGGTTTTTCTCTGGTACCGGGAACCGAACTCACGACCTTGCGCTTGCCAGGCAGGCGCTTTTTTATGCATGTTACTTTAAATTGTTCTTCTTTATAGAGAAAAAAATATGCTTTTTAACTTGAAATGTGCTGTGCTGGGTCCCCAGGATCGTGCAAGTCCACTGGGATTCCCTGGGGACCCATAGGACACAACACACTCATCCTGTGGGCTGTGGTGGTTTACAACAAGGATGCAGAGCACACTCAGCAAGGGTGGAGTCCACCGTTCTGCTGGTTGCATCACATAGGCACTTGTTCCCCAGATGGTCTTGAGACCTGGGGTCCATGTTTTCCTGGGCCTGCTTACACAGGCACTCAGGCCTGGCTGGTACAGACTGCAGACTCCGGAAGGAAGGCAGGCTCTGGCACACGAGCAGTCTGCCAGTGAGTCACCTTCAGGAGCCAAGACTTGGAGTAGCTTGCTGAGTCCAAGCTCCTGGATGCTAGCGGCCCGCATGTGGGTCCTGCTGCACAACATGCATGTAGGAAAGCATAGCTTTGACTGTGTGCGTCACGCGTTGCCTCATCTTGACTGTTCTAAACATAGTGGACGACTCCTGGGCCTTTTGCGGCTGTCCTCTGTGCTGGGCACCCTTCTTTCCTTATTTTTCTGAGGCCCTCAGTGGATGCGTGTTTTATTGATTACTGAAAGTAAGGTCATTTTTTTCTTTTTGTGGTGCTAGGGATTGAACCCAGAGCCTTGCACATACTAGGCAAGTGCTCCACAACTGAGCTATACCTCCAGCCCCTGAGGGTACTCCTTTTCTTCTTTATTCAGAGGTCTTCTATTTTTCACTTTTTTTGTGTGTGTGTGTATGTGTGAGTATTGTGGATAGGATTGAGCCCAGGGTATGTTTTGCTGAGTTGTTCAGGCTGGACTCAAACTTATGATCCCTTTCTAAGGAGCTGTGATCTCAGGCATGCACCATTACATCAGACTGGATTTCCCTCCTTATAAGACTAGTTTGCACTTTGAAAGGTGTCAGTGAAGAGCAGCCACTTTGTGGGTATGGTTTTCCTGTGTTTACTTTATTTTTTTATTTTTTTGGTTTTTCTCCGGTACCGGGAACCGAACTCACGACCTTGCGCTTGCCAGTCAGGCGCTGTTGCCGCTGAGCTAAATCCCCAGCTCCTCCTGTGTTCACTTTAATGTTTGTGTTTTTTGCCAAGTTAGCTGAGACCGGGTTGAATGTGCACGGTGGGGATGCCACAGGGATGTAGGGTGGGCCAGTGGACTTCTGCTTCCCTTGCTCTTGGATGGATGGCATTGGTGGGCTGAGAGAGGGCAGCAGGACTGTCTGGGGATCGTAGTAGTCAGTTCTGTGATTTCATTCTGCCTTTTCATTCTCTCTTAGACATGGGAGACCCGCTACATGCTTTTGCTGTGGCTCTCCATGACCTGCCTGATCCCTTTCGACCTTTCACGCCTTGACGGGAACCTGGGCACCCAGGTGGGGCAGGCACAGATGCCCATCATGGACCGCATTCTGCAGATAGCAGAGGTGGGTGTGACTGTGTATGTGACCAGCTGTTAGTCATGTCCTCTTTTACAATAAATGCTAGTTAATGCTGTCCTGAAGTGTAAGCTTGTGGTATTTAGGTAAGCTTTTGGTATTTATCTGTTGCTTTAACTGCTAGTATTTTTTTTCAGTGAGGTAAAATTCCACCTAAGTTTATTTTGGAATTGTGATAGCTCAGAGGTCAGGTTTATGTTAGCAAACATTTCTTTATAAATCATGCAAGTACTCTGTTAAGCATTAGAAAGTAGGAGAAATTTAGTGGTAATGGTAAGAGAAATTAAGGAATTATTTTATACTTGACTTTTAATATTGTATAAATAATACACAATCATTGTAGGAAACTTAGAATAAAGATAAGAATAGTAATTGAAACATGTCAAATTCTCGTAGTCCTACTTGCTTGTCAGCGACAAAGCTCGAGACGCGGCTGCTGTCCTGGTGTCCAAGTAAGTCTTGTGGGGCCCTGGGGTTTGAGAAAATGGACTGAGCTGCCCTCACTTGGGTGTGTGGACTGCGCATCTCCCGGGTCCCCCGTGTGTCAGCGTGTAGACAGATGGCTCCTTCCCCGAGTCCCCATACGTGGTATGGCATGGCTCTGTTGTGTCCCTGTGCATTGGGGATTTGGGAGCTGGCTGAGCTGTCCTTGTAGCACCTTTGCCTGGAGCAGGGTGCAGTGGTGCACGCTCAGTGGTGGGGTCCAAGAGTGGAGGGTGGAACCTTGGGTCCTGGGCTGTCCAGCCCTTTCCCGGGGATAGCTCCTCTGATAGGAGAATCCTGTGTGGGTGCTCGCGGTTCAGCCAGGGCTCAGGTGACACTAGGTTTCTCTTTTATAAGTGTGTGCCCCTGTGCCTTCATGTCCAGGGCTGTGTCCTGTCTGTGGGGAGCACTGCACCCTTCACCCTGCTGTCTACCTTTTCCCACCCCATGGAGTAGGGTGGGGCTGGCCTGCATGTTGGGCTGCTGACCTTCCATCCACACAGTCCTTCCTGAGCTTTGTTTTTTTTAATTTTTATTTTATTGGTATATTTTAGATATACATAATGATAACATTCATCATATGGAATTTGTACCTGTACATGATATATCTTGCTGCTTGTTTTTTCTCATTCCCCTCCCCTCCCCTTCAACCCCTCTTCCCTTCATTTAAAAAAGCTTTGTTTCCATTTTTCTCTTCTGTTCTTTTTTTTGTCCCTTCCTTACTTTTTCCCTGCCCCTTTCCTTGTTCCCCTTCTCATCTGAACATTTTCTTTCCATTTTCCAATATCTGTTATATATTTTGATCCTTATTTACACTTTTGGTTTCTAACACCAGAGAAACTGTGTAGTATTTTCGTATGTGTCTGGTTTATTTCATTTAAGAGTATGGTCTCAGGGGCACCTGTTTAGCTAGAAATGAATATCTCAAGCTTAGCCTTCTTTGTTAGAGAGTAGTACTCCATTGTATAAAAACCACATCTTTATCCATTCATTGGTTGATGGGCATTTGGGCTATTTTCAAGATATTGTAAACTGTGCTGCTATAAACATGAGTACATATATTGCTGTCGTATGATGCTTTTTGGGAAGATACTAAGAAGGGGAATAACTGGGTCAAATGGGATCTCTAGTCCTTGTTTTCTGAGGAATCTTCACACTGATTTGTGGTTGTGTCAGTGGTTGTGTCAGTCTACACTCCAACCAACAGTAGAGAAGAGTTCCTTTTCCCCTGCACCCCTGCCAGCATTTGTTATTGATTCCTTTTTTTTGTCTTTTTGAGATAGGGTCTTGCTGTGCAGTTCAGGCTGGCCTTGAGCTCACTTTGTAGCCCAGGCTGGTCTTGAACTC